GTGGAACTCAAACGCCTGCAGGGCCTCAAAGTCCAGCGCCCTCAGCGCGAACAGCTGCCCATTGTCTGCGTTGATGGAGACCAGCGAGGCGAGGGACAGGTGCGGGTCCTGGTTTGGCAGCAGCGAGTAGGTGATCTGGGCGTTGGTGCCTGAGTCTCTGTCTGTGGCGCTGACACTGCCTATTTGCATGGCTGGCTGGTTGTTCTCGGGGACCAACAGGGTGTAGGACACTTGTGTGAAGGCAGGGGCGTTGTCATTGACGTCAGAGACGAGGATTATTATGCTGTGCTCGGTTTTCAGCCTGGGTGTCCCAAAATCAGTGACCGTGATGGTGATATTATACTGGGCTCTGCTTTCCCTGTCTAGGGTTTTCTCCGTTTCTAGGGTGTAGTAATTCTCAAATGAAGATTTCAGTAGGAATGGGAGGTCTTCTGGAATAGAACAAATCGTTCTTCCATTTTCTCCAGAGTCTCTATCTCGGATACTGAAAACCATGACTRCAGTCTCAGGGGAATTTTCTGAGATTGGACTGGTAATTGATGACACAGCAATTTCAGGAACATTGTCATTCACATCCATTACTTGTATTCTGACTGTAGACTTTCCAAAAAGTCCTCCCCCATCTGTGGCTTGAATGATTACTGAGTATGATTCAATTGTTTCAAAATCCAAAGATGCTGTTAAACTAATTTCTCCAGACTTTCGGTTAATTTTAAATGTCTTTTGAATATCTTCTGAGGCATGAGAAAAGGTATATGATATTTCCCCATTTATTCCGGAATCTAAATCCCAAGCCGTGACAGTGATAACCAGTGAACCAAGGATGCTATTCTCTGGAATCTTCACCTCATAAAATGGTTGCTGAAACTCAGGGCAGTTGTCATTAATGTCTACAACCACCACCCGAACTAAGGCAGTCCCAGACCTGGGTGGGGACCCACCATCCAGAGCAGTGAGAATCAAACTGAGTTCCTGCTGCTCTTCATAATCCAGTGCCTTGTCCAGAACCAACTCTGGGTACTTCCTGTTGTCTGGATTAACTCTCATTTTAATGTGGAAATGAGAGTTGGGGCTTATTGTGTAGCTTTGTACAGTATTCATTCCTACATCTAAATCATTTGCACTTTCTAGTAAGAACACAGCACCAACAGGACTATTCTCTGGGATTTCTAGGAGCATTTCTTTTTCCAAGAAGATTGGAGAGTGGTCATTTACATCTCTTACTTGAAGCTCAATCCGTAAAAACTGCAAAGGGTTTTTCATTAATACCTGAAAATGCAGCACACAGGGCTCGGTGGAGCCGCAGAGCTCCTCCCGGTCTAACATTTGGCTTAAAAGCAAATCCCCGGTATTTATGTCCAGTTGCAAAGACTGTTTGTTATCATTAGAGACAACCTGAGCTCCCCGGGAGGACAGCTCACCCACCTCTAGTCCTAGGTCTTTTGCCAAATTGCCTACAAAGCTTCCACTTTGCATTTCCTCTGCCACGGAAAAGCTCCCAGGCTCAGAGTGCGCCTGAGATATTCCCAACAAAACAAAGAGAAGTAGGACTTGCCTTGTCTGCAAAGTATCTTCTCCTCCATTCTCCATAGCTCTTTGCCAGAAGGCTTCCTGCAGAATTGATTCAGCTCCACTTTGCCGTTCTGGGAAACGTGTTTCTGGATTTGTCCACTTTGGAAGAATATTGTAATCCGATTGAATGGCTTCTAGGTTGCCCCTTGTTGGCTTGTTCTGTCTTCCCTGTTCTCCCTGTGCACTGATTAAGCGTCCACAATGCCATCCAGTGAAATATATATATTTTTTTCCCCGTGCGGATATTATCCTGCAGCGCCACCATGCGTCTCCACAGATTTTCACAGTTTGAAAGCTACTAAATTAAATTCACATGAATGTCCCATGGAAAGAAATGTCTATTCGTTGTTTGATTACAAATATATTCTTTCACAATTGTTTTACATCATTTATAATTTCTGATTATGTTATCATTTGTTTTAAAATATTTACTAGGTATCCCACTCTTCACACAACCTAATGTGCTCAGTGTTTGGGAAAACAGAAACAGAAGATGTGATTCCTGATCCCCAAGAGTTTGTAATCTTTCTGGGAAGATTGTGAACCTGAAACAAGGAGGGTAATATAACTCACTGTCAAGCTGAACAAAATTCCATCACTATTTGGTCTGCCTAAGGTACTAAAGGAAAGAGACAGTATCCAAGGAGTATGAAATTGGATTAACAATGAAATGACATATATTTATATAGCTGCTATAGTACATTAGAATATTTATGTAGATTTCTTTAATAGAATGAATTGTGAACTGGTAGAAAATTAAATAAGATGCTGGGATAGGACATATGATAAAACMCACAATTTAGTTACACTTTCTCATATCTTACAAAAAATGAATAGCTACACAAATGCAAACATGTTAGTTTCATTTAAAGCAGTCTTCTAAAACTGACTTCCTTTAGGTTCCCAAGACTCATTCCCACAACAACTAAGGCTAACTACTTTCTTTTTCATCCCAGGCAGAGAAAGTGGGAGAGAGTCTCTTTCCCAAATAAAACAAAAACTTAACCTTTACTCTGATTAGATCAAGTACATGTTTCTGCTACCGAAGAAGTCATTGTTTCAAGAGGTATTGAAAACATTACAGATAGAGCTTTTAGTTCTGGAATTTGAAGACCTATGCTTGTACTTAGTTTGTTTAACTCTGTCGGGAATCACCTCTAAACTTGAGGTAGTTTTAGTCCTAGCCAAAGTGCATGGTTGCTACATAATGAAGGTGATAGTTTGGAATATATGCTAGAAGTTCATTAATYGTATCAACTATAGGAAATCTCAAAATTATACTAAGAATGGATAAACAAAATCCCTAAACACAATATAATTTWAAAAAATTAAATTCAAATTAGGTTCTATAATATGTAAGCTTTATGCATGGTTGGAAAAATAGATAAATTTTTAATAATAAAAAAGTTTACAAATTAAAAAGTAGGTAGATTGATTACGCAGCTATCATCCTTCCTTTAAAAATATCTACTGGGCTGGTATTGTGGCTCAGAGGTAGAGTGCTTGCCTCCCACGTGCAAGGTCCAGCATTCGATTCTCAGCACCACATACAACAATGAACAACTGAAATAAAGGTATTGTGTCCAACTAAAACTAAAAAATAAATATTTTTTAAAAATATACAAAGATGACAAAAACTTAAAAATCAACTTTAAAAGGCTAAAAATACACAAGTGAATATACATTTTTTAGGACAGAAATCAGAAGAGCAGAGTAACTCACAAGTTCCAAGAAATGGCTAATTTTCCTGCATTGAAAAGACAAAAATAGTGAGATTGTCCCACACAATCCCATGTAAAGATTTAGAGGAATCAGGTGCATAAGAAGACTGAAATTACTTAGCAGCTATAAAAGTTATTAAAGTACATATATAGGAATGTTGAATTCTCTGTTCCTCTCACCATCCTACAGAGACAGGAAAGTATCTCAGGGCTAGTTTATTCTATGGAGAAATTAAATGAGACTTTTTCTAGTCTTGGAGATATAGGCAGGATTAAAAGCAAGTGTAAGGAAAAAGTAAGAAAACTCTTCATTTTGAATGGTGATACTTATATTACCTTCCCAGGCAATGCTCTGAGGTTGTAGGACATAAGGTATATAACTAACTCCCACTCCCACACAGTGGATATTCTAGAATTCTAACTCAAGAATATGAAAAGCCCAAATACTTAAACATACTGATATTTGTGGTCTTCCAGGGTAACAGCCCTGTCCTTTTATGGTTATATTAGATTGATGGTCTGCCATYAACAGGATTTATTCACTCACAAAGTATTGATTGCTGGCATTTTAAAATAGCATCCTTCTTAAATATAAGAGGATAGCTAAGTAACACAAGACATTTGAGGAGAAGCCTATTATAGCATGAAATATAAAGGCCCAAACCACTACCACCTCTACAAAAAAGGGAATGAGAAAACCCATGTAATAGAACATAAGAAAGTGGGTGTGATGGTGCACACCTGTAATCCCAGTGACTCAGAAGGCTGAGACAGGGAGATCACAGATCAAGGCCAGCCTTATTAAGTTAAGGAGCCCCTTAGCAATTTAGTGAGATCCTGCCACAAATTTCTTAGAAAGAGCTAAGGATATACTCAGTGGCAAAGCACTCTGGCTTAAACCCTTCCCCMAAAAAAAGTTAAAGAGGGAGAGAGAGATGATAATGCCTTTGAAAATGTCCAATTAGTTGGGCTGGGGATGTAGCTAAGTGCTAGCATGCACAAAGCCCTGGGTTCCATCCCCAGAACCTAATGAAAAAATAATAAAAAGAGATTGTCTGACTAATATCCACAAAGAATTAAAATCTAATAAAACTAGTATATTTTTTAGAATTTAGAACTTACTTCATGCTACCCATTGGTMTAAGTGCTTCATACATTTCCCCATTTAATCTTTGTGCTGTTTTTCAAGTTTTTTTTGTACATTTTGTTTTGTTTTTGCAATACTGGGGATTGAACCCAGAATTTCCAGCATTTCCAGCATGACTGGCAAGTGCTCTACCAGAAAGCTCTATCCCCAGTCCTACACATTTAAACTCAATAGTAATGGTATGAAGTATACATTCTTATTGTAAGATAAACAATAGATTCAGACTTAAGTGTTTTTACCAGCTCAAGTTCTTTCGTTCTCTGATACATTCTCATTATTAAATGGACGCATAATAACAATACCACATAATGTATGTCTTGAATAATACATCTTAGGGATTAAATTAATTATAGAAGGGAGAAGAAATTACATTTATWAAAAAATGCAATCCAGGTGCTGTGGTGCATGCCTGTAATCCCAGTCGCTCTGAAGGCTGAGGCAGGAGGATCACAAGTTCAAAGCCAGCTTCAACAAAAGTGAGGCACTAAGCAACTCAGTGAGACCCTGTCTCTAAATAAAATACAAAGTAGGGCTGGGGATGTGGCTCAGGGGTCAAGTGCACCTGAGTTTAATCCCTGATACAAAACAAACAAACAAACAACAACAACAACAAAACTATGAAAAACTCTCAGAAAACCAGAAAGAACTCTTAAAAAATATTTGTCAAATGAAAATAAAAACTTAAAAAGATTAAATCATTGAATTAAAATGTAGAACCAGAGACAATAAGAGAGAAAATATGAAAGCACCTTATAGGGCCTTATTGAATCAACAAGGAAGTCTGATAATTCAATGACATTCAGTGAGAATGTAGATAACTCAGGGGAGAAATTGTATTTAAACTTAACAAGAAAATTTCAAAATTTAACATTCTTTCTAAATGTTAACAGAGTACACCCATGTGACCATATTAATAAATACAGCCTGTACTAAGTTATTTTCAGAATATAAGGGTAAAGTTTTCCTCATACTATCAGAAAGAAAGAAAAAAGAAAGAGGGAGGGGGAGGGAGGGAGGGAGGGAGGGGATCACATAAAAAGAGAAATCAGAATGGAATCAGTCTTTGGAACAATTCTATGCAATCAATAGAAGGAATGCTTTTGAAATCTGAGGGGAAATTATTTTCAGTCTAGAATTTTATACCCAGTGAAACTATCAATCAACTGGAAAAAAGATTACTTCACAATGCAAGGTCTTAAATAATTATTTAAACTCTTCTGCATCTGTTTTGATGAAGAATGGTATTGAGAGATATATGTTAGCCAAAAGAGAATAAACTAAGAAAGAAAAATATACCTGATTTTATAATGGGGGACTAACACAGGAAAATATTAAAGGGGAAAAATACCTAGGGTGATAGCTTATATAGCAAATAATGTAAAGGAAGCAGAAATATAGATGAAATACCTCCAGGAAATAAACATAATTGGTAGGTATCTGATATATTTGAATATTTTAAGGAGAAAAATAGCTTTCAAGTAAAGGATAGTGTAAAATATTCATTGCAGTTAATAGAAAATGATGCAAGTGCAAGTGCTCTAGGAAGAATATTTTTCAAGAAAGGAAATACAATCATAYAACACTAACAATATGGACTTTAACTGATAGTTTAGCCTTTAAAAATATGTGAAAATTCTATTACGAGAATAGGGGAAAGGGAATGTGCAGTGTTTGTCTATATTGTTGGGAAGTAAAAAAGTTAAATCSTTTATTTATTCTAGTAAGAAATAATTAAAATTTAAACAATATTAAGACAGCCTAAACCTACTATTTAGAACTTTGAAATCAATTTTAGAAGAAGCCACTGTGTAAAAGGTGTCTGGAGATATAAGAAATTACTTTTTGTTGTAATTTTTCATTCATCTTGATTTTAAACCTGAAAATAATATGAACTTACAAAATAAACTGAAAAGTTRATGTCTTTCAGACATTCTACCAAATACACACAAGTTTTCAAAATGTTTTAAAATTTTTATTCATTTTCATTCAGGTTATTACATCTTATTTGAATTATAACACATGATGTTTTAAATATCAGCAAAAGTGAACGTAAGAAAATATTGGCTAAGTTAGAACAGCAAATGTAAAGGAAATAAAWTAATAAACAATTATGGGAGTCCCATATCAATCACAAAAAGATGTTTAATTTTGCAGTGAACACAGAAAAGGTATTTTTTCCACATGCTGTGATTTAGAAGTTGGTATGATTTTTAAGATGAATAAATAGAACATTAGAATAAGATTGGAAGTGCAGATATGACTTCTTACATGAAGGAAATACAACAGAAGGGTAGTTTAGTATTATGAGGCATGCAGGCTCTAAAATATACCAGGTGAGGGAATTGGGTGTAGCTCAGAAATACAGTGCTTAGCATTCTGAAGTGCTAAGTTCATTCACCAACATTGAATAATAAACAAACAGAAGAAAACCCAAAACCTCAGTTTTATAGAAAGAAAAATGACAATATAAATATGTGTGCAATTGTAAAGGATTAAAACTTTAAAGGTATTATTCACAGATGGGTATGAATTAAAATTAAACTGCTAATGCAAAAGAGATTAAACAACATTGTAAAATGGTAGATGTATAGTACTTGATAGTTGAAAATCAATTGTTATATTGCATTATAACTGATAGAAAACTAAACTTATTAGGGATTATAATATTTCAAAAGTACATCACAATAAAAACAAAAGTGTTGCTGAAAACTAAATTTACAGCTGTTTCAAAAGATAGGATTTTCTACACTATTCCGCTCAGGACCATTGGTGTGAATGTTAGGGTAAATTGGTTTCAAAAACTTGAATTCGCTTGTTCCAGAAGAATCTCCCGTCAGACACACCTTATACTGGTAGCTCTGGGACAGAGTGCCAGTGCCGCTGACATCCACCAGGTGGCCAGGAAAGTGGCCCTCAGGCACTGAGCAGACCTCTAGTGATGCCGCCCTGCGCCTCCTGCACAGCCTCACCGCCACAAACACCAGCACAGAGAAGAGGAAGAGCGACGACACAGAGGCCAAGGCGATGACCAAGTAGACAGTGAGCGAGTCCCCCTGCGYGCGCTCRGGCGCCACTTCCGGGAGCGGCAGGTAGGGCTGGGAGAAGCCATCCACCAGCAGCACGTGCAGCGTGACGCTGGCAGACAGCGGAGGCTCGCCATTGTCCTTGACCAGCACCACCAGCCTGTGCCTGGCCGCGTCGCGCTCGCTCAACAGCCTGGTGGTGCGCACCTCGCCATTGTGCGCCCACACGCCAAACAGCCCTGGCTCCGTGGCCTTGAGCAGCTGGTATGACAGCCAGGCGTTCTGGCCCGAGTCTCYRTCCACTGCCACCACCTTGGTGACCAGGTAGCCCTGCTCTGCTGCCCTGGGCACCAGCTCAGTGCAGGGCGCAGAGGCGTTCTGCATTGGGTACAGCACGAAGGGCAAGTTGTCATTGTCGTCCAGCACCACGACGCGCACCAGCGCCTGGCTGCTGAGCGCGGGCGAKCCTTGGTCTGTGGCGCCCACGTGGAACTCAAACGCCTGCAGGGCCTCGAAGTCCAGCGCCCTCAGCGCGAACAGCTGCCCATTGTCTGCGTTGATGGAGACCAGCGAGGTGAGGGGCAGATGCGGGTCCTGGTTTGGCAGCAGCGAGTAGGTGATCTGGGCGTTGATGCCTGAGTCTCTGTCTGTGGCGCTGACACTGCCTATTTGCAGGGCGGGTTGGTTATTCTCGCGGACCAACAGCGTGTATGACGTTTGTGTGAAGGCAGGGGCGTTGTCGTTGACGTCGGAGACGAGGACAGTTATGTTGTGCTGGGTTTTCAGCCTGGGTGTCCCCAAGTCTGTGACCGTGATGGTGATGTTGTACTCGCCTCTGCTCTCTCTGTCTAGTGCTTCTTCTGTCATTAGGATGTAAAAATTTTCCACAGAGGGTTTCAGACGGAAAGGCAAATTATCCTGTATGTAGCAAATGGTCATTCCATTTTCTCCAGAATCTCTGTCTTTAGCCCTAAAAACTGCTAGTACTGTTTCAGGAGAATTCTCATCGATGTAGTTGGAAAGTGATGATATGATCAATTCAGGAGGATTGTCATTGGTGTCTAATACCTGGACCAAAACCATACATCTTGCAGAAAGGCCCCCACCATCAATTGCCTGTATGTTTATTTTGTGAGACTTTACTAGTTCATAGTCAAGCAATGCTTTGAGAATAATTTCCCCAGAAAAAGGATTGATTTGAAAGATTGTTTGAATATCTTCATCAGCATCAAAAAATGAATAGGTTACTTCTGCATTGACTCCTGAATCTGCATCTTCTGCACAGACTTTAACCACAAGAGACCCTAAGGGGCTATTTTCTGGAGCCTTGGTCTCATAAATCAGCTGAGAAAATTTGGGAGCATTGTCATTAACATCCAGGACAAGGATGCGTATAGTGGTGATTCCTGACCTGGGTGGAGATCCACCATCCAGTGCTGTGAGTGTTAAATTGAGCTCTGGCTGCTTTTCCCAGTCAAGAACTTTGTCTAGCACTAGCTCTGGATATATTGTTCCCTCATCACTGTCACTAATTGTAATATGAAAAAAAGAATTGGGTTCAATTGTATAGTTTTGGATACCATTAAGTCCTCTATCTGAATCTTGTGCTCTTTCTAAACGAAATGTTGCCCCTTCTGCTGTATTTTCTAGTATTTTTAAGACCATCTCTTTCTCCCGAAATACTGGTGAGTGATCATTTATATCTCTGATTTTCAACTCAGCCCGGTAAATCTGAAAGGGGTTGTCCATTAAAATTTGGAAATACAGCATACAGGGCTCTATGGAGCCACACAGTTTCTCCCTGTCCAGTTTTTCATTTGTGAGCACATTTCCAGTATGAGAATCCAGAAGCAAGTGTTGTTTATTATCATCAGAAACCACCCTCGTTCTCCGTGTAGCCAGCTCCTCCACCCCTATTCCCAGCTCCTTTGCTAGATTGATGACAAAGGATCCTCTTTCAGTTTCCTCTGTCACAGAATAATGTCGAAACCTATTAGCTGCCAAGGATACTCCCCCAAACAGAAAGAGAAATAAGACTTGCCTTTGTCTTGGGAAGCACAACCTTCTGGTCTCCATAGCTTCTTCTTTCATTAATTCCAGTAATAAGCAGAACTCACAGCCTAAACAGCAGTTGGAAGCCTCAGACTTACACTTTGTACTAACAGGGAGCTAAGATTTCTTTTGTCTTTTTCTTCCCAGCCCATCTGTCTGGATCTTCCTTTTTTGTTAGTGACCTCAGTAGCAACCTCAGTTCAAAATTTCTGTCTCTTTAGCCTGCAGCGCCACCGCGTGGCTTCCAAAACACTCAAAAATTTAACCTTTTTTTCCTGTGTATTATTTATAAATTATTTCATTTAGTGGCTTTTTTCAAATTTTCAATTTTYATTTTCTATTTTTTAAAATAATATTTGTATAGAGATGCATTCACATTGTTTATTCATTGTTCCATGGRAAAGTTAAAAAAATTGGGAAACAAAAAGTTCCTGCTGTAGCAGTGATTTTGTTCAGTTCACTGATAGGTTTTGCTCCTGTACTAGGTCTTTCAATTGTGATACAACACTTATGCAACCAAATGGAATATTTTGGGTTCCTCATGGAACCATCAAAATARTAATTTTATTTTTCCAGTGACATTGGGCACAGGAACACCAAAAACTGGCAAAGAAGCCCATTTCATATGTTTTTWAAAAAACTCCTTCAAAAATCCCATTACAATGCCTAAACAGAATCACCACTCTGTAATCAGAACCAAGCATTTAGGCTGTTCCTTTTCCGTGTTCCCATAAAGACTTATGCATATAACTATGATGACCCTGTAAATAGTATTGCTTCTCATTTTAGGCCACTCTGTCCTTTCTTCAATATGTGAACTACTTGAGGACAGAAACTACATCTTAGCAATCTTTGGTTGGCAAATAAGCCACTCACTAATTCTGCTAATAAAGCATGCATATAGATAAACTGTAGTGAATAGGACCTGAAACAATATTCAGTACCTTTCAAAACCTAACCCCTACAATTTGAAAATTGTCTTCTTTCATTCACTTACACATGCTTTTCAATTTCTAATACCTTTTTTGACTTGTTTTTCTTATATAAAATTTAAAATACCTAGAAGAATTAAAGAATGGTCTAACCTTTATTTTAAGGTTCCTCTTAATTGAAATCCAGTAAGACTTTATGTGCATTAAATAAAGGGAGGTAAAGATCACAACTAACACATATCATAACATTATGGAAAGTAAAAATAACATTATACCATTTGCTTCACAGTAATTTTATTCAAAGGCCTAATATCTAGAAAGATAGTCTTCTACATATTATGATTTTCCTACAAAAAGCAAGTGATATAAATTAAGTCTAGTAAGTCTAGGGAGATATATAAGGAAAAGGCTAGATATCACCAAGAAACAAAAGCAAACAACAAAAACCCACTACTCTGCTGAATATAAAAGACACGTTATGAGAACCTCTAATTGATAGTTTCTATTGTTTTTTCAACTGAGTGGAAATGGATTGCTAGCCAATAAAACTTAACAGGGATCCCTGATTTTTTTCACACACAATTAAAAACAACAAATTATGAAATATTTCTATATGATGCTGTAGAATGCCCAAAGTTTGCCTTTATGGCTTCAAACGTAAGAGCATTTACACACTCAATATTTTACAATGACTTTTCTTTTTATGTTCAGGTTGGGCTGATTAGATATTTATCATACCACTTGTAACAGAAATATTATTATTAAATACAGATACATCAACAGGGAAAACAGAACTTTAAAAAGTAACATAGTTTAAGAAAGATGTAATAATTAAAATCAAGGATTACAAATCAACAAGAAGACCAATTTAGAAAGGAAAATAGAAATATCAAATAGTATATATGATATCTCATGAAGCAGAAGTCTAGAAAAGGGAGAACCAACATGAAATATATGTTGATAATAAAATCAATAAAACACATTGGGTGAAAGAACATTTTAAAATGCTGTCAGCTTTGAAGATAAAGCCAACTCATTAATAGTCTATGAGGGAAAAAGTCTATGAGAAACAATTGAGTAAACATAAAGAAAAAACTGTAGTAAACTGATACTGAATTAAACTGAAAAATAAATAGTACTGAAAAAATGGATGATAATGGACATAAACAATTTAACCAACAAGACAATATTAAACAGTTTATGACAAGACATGTTGGCATATGCTTGTAATCTCAGCTACTTTAGAGGCCTAAGCAGGGTGATTCACCAGCACCGGGAGTGGGTGAGTAAGTGTCTTTCCCTTATTGAATGGATTTCTATCAATAATTAAATCCAAAAGTATTGTGGAAGAAAGAATTTTCCTCTATTTCTTTCTCAGGGCACTGGGGCGGGAGGATGGGGATAATTGGCTTCAAGAACTTAAACTCGCTGGTCACAGAACCTCCCTTCAGACACACCTCTTGTTGGTAACTCTGGGACAGAGTGCCAGTGCTGGCGACATCCACCAGGTGGCCAGGAAAGTGGCCCTCAGGCACAGAACACACACCTAGCGATGCCGCCCTGCTCCTCCTGCACAACCTCACCGCCACGAACACTAGCACAGAGAAGAGGAAGAGCGACGACACAGAGGCCAAGGCGATGACCAAGTAGACAGTCAGCGAGTCCCCCTGGGCGCGCTCAGGCGCCACTTCCGGGAGCGGCAGGTAGGGCTGGGAGAAGCCATCCACCAGCAGCACGTGCAGCGTGACGCTGGCAGACAGCGGAGGCTCGCCATTGTCCTTGACCAGCACCACCAGCCTGTGCCTGGCCGCGTCGCGCTCGCTCAGCAGCCTGGTGGTGCGCACCTCGCCATTGTGCGCCCACACGCCAAACAGCCCTGGCTCCGTGGCCTTGAGCAGCTGGTATGACAGCCAGGCGTTCTGGCCCGAGTCTCTGTCCACTGCCACCACCTTGGTGACCAGGTAGCCCTGCTCTGCYGCCCTGGGCACCAGCTCTGTGCAGGGCGCAGAGGCGTTCTGCATCGGGTACAGCACGAAGGGCGAGTTGTCATTGTCGTCCAGCACCACCACTCGCACCAGCGCCTGGCTGCTGAGCGCGGGCGAGCCTTGGTCTGTGGCGCCCACGTGGAACTCGAAWGCCTGCAGGGCCTCGAAGTCCAGYGCYCTCAGCGCGAACAGCTGCCCATTGTCTGCGTTGATGGAGACCAGCGAGGCGAGGGGCAGGTGCGGGTCCTGGTTTGGCAGCAGCGAGTAGGTGATCTGGGCGTTGGTGCCTGAGTCTTTGTCTGTGGCGCTGACACTGCCTATGTGCAGGGCGGGCTGGTTGTTCTCGCGCACTAACAGCGTGTAGGAGGTTTCTCTGAAGGCAGGGGCGTTGTCGTTGATGTCTGATACCTGCACTGTTATATTAAGCTGTGTTTTCAATCTGGGTGTCCCCATATCTGTAACAGTGATGGTCACGTTGTATTCCTCTCTTTCTTCTCTGTCTAGTGCTCTCTTTGTTTTCAAGGTGTAAAAGTTCTTGCCTGAAGGTTTTAGAAGAAAGGGCATGTCTTCCCGAATGGAGGAAATCGTCTTTCCGTTGTTCCCAGAGTCAGGATCTGAAACTCTGAAAACAGCAACCACCATCTCCGGGGAGTTCTCCGGGATGGGACTGGTGAGTGCAGACATGGTCACTTCAGGGTGGTTATCATTTACATCCACTACCTGCAGGAGAAGAGTGCATTTCCCCCAAAGACCTCCTCCGTCTGTAGCCTTGATGTCCACTTCATAAAACGGGACTGTTTCAAAATCTACTTGTTTCCTAAGTCGAATTTCTCCTGTCATAGGATTTAGCTCCAAAGTTTTGCTAACATCTTCTGAAGCCTGAAAGAGCATATATATTATTTTCCCATAGATGCCACCGTCTAAATCAGTGGCGGAGACAGTGACTACCAGAGAACCTACCGGGCTGTTCTCAGGAATTTGCACCTTGTAGATTGGCTGCTGAAACTCAGGGGTATTATCGTTGATGTCCAACACTTCAATAAGGACCTGTGTGGTTCCAGACAGCGGAGGAGAGCCGCCATCCAGAGCTGTCAGGGTTAATCTTAGTTCAGGCTCTTCCTCTCGATCCAGCTCTTTTTCCAAAACCAGTTGAGGATATTTCTTGCCGTTGTTGCGTTCATAGGTAAGAACGCGGAAATGGGAGTTGGGGCTGATTTGATAGTTCTGAACATCATTGCTTCCAACGTCCAAGTCCAGAGCATTATTCAGAGGGAACACATTTCCTAGGGGGCTGTTTTCCAGTATTTTAAGAAGTATTTCTCTTTCTGGGAACACAGGAGAATGATCATTTATGTCTTTCACCTTCAGTTCAGCCTGAAATATCTCTAAGGGTTTTTCCATTAACACTTGGAAATTTAGTATACAAGGCTCAGTGGGCCCACATAGCTCCTCTCTATCTAATTTCTCATTTATGAGCAAATCCCCAGTTTGAACCTTGAGCTGCAAATACTCTTTGTTTCCTTGGGAAATGATCCGGGCCCCTCGGGTGGACATCTCTGCCAACTCCAGCCCTAGGTCTTTCACTAGATTTGCCASTAAGGAACCTTTCTCCATTTCTTCCACTACCACATATGGTCCCAACTCGGCGCCTGCCCCAGACAAGCTCAGCAAAACAAAGAAAAGTAAGACTTGCCTTTTTCTCTGATTTGGCAGCCATTCAATCTCCATTGCTATTTCTTGGAAATTCTTGTTCACAGGAGATTCACGTGTACCCAGGGTCTTGTTAGCGCTGTCCAGCAGTCCAGAATGCCAGAACTAAGCCGTTAAACAGAGTTTTTAAAGATATCGCACTCGCTTTTGCTCTGGCGGAGAAAGCTTTTCTTTTGCTTCTAGGCGGCAAGAAACTGGCTGGCAAACTGGAATTGCAGAAGCCGGTGTTGTTTTCCATTTTCTTGACCTGTAGCGCCACCATGCGTTCACTTAGTCTTACTTTTTTTTTTTTCCTGATGGAACTGGAAACCAAATTTTCCAAAATGAAGGAATAGGCTTTGTGATATTAAACACTTGAGTTTTATTTTCAAGAGGCTTTTGTATGTACAGAGAGAACACTGGTGTTTCATGGAAAGGAGTACAAATAGCACACTATTACTGATATTATTGACTATGCTGTTGTTAATGATTAAATGTTGCTATTTACATCTAAACTAAGAAGAACATACATGTAGGAGCAAAATGTTTCCAAAGTAACACACATATTTTTCAGGGTACTTATTATAGTATTACAAATGAATGGACAATGCAAAAATTACAATCAGCGTGGTTCTAAAGAGTGTAGTTAACCTTTTTTGATGTGGTGCAATCCCCAGGGCTTCTTGCATGGGAGGCAAGACCTTTACCACAAAGACACATCCAAGCCCCTAACCARTGCTTTATTAAAGAATAAGTAACTTCTTTCCAACACCTAAGCCTCAAAACTGAATTTTTACAATTTTCAAATTAATGGAAAATTATTTTCTAAATAGGCAAATCTCAAGATTGGCCTTTGGAATTCTGTTTTTTTTTTWAATTTTAACAAGAACAATTTCTATCTTATTCTTTTAAAAACATCATTGAGATGTAACTCAAATACCCAAAATTCACCAACTTAAAGCATATGATTCAGTGGCTCTTAATGTATTCACATTGTTGTACTTCCATAATCATTCAATTTTAGAATATTCCCATCACCTTAAGAAGAAAYGTTATCCTTTATCTATAATCCCACTATTGTCCCATTTCTCCTGGCTTCAACCCCAAGCATTTATTAATCTACTTTTTTATAGAGTTCCCTATTTTAAACTTTTAAATGAAGGAAATGATATAATATGCAGACTTTTATGACTGGTTTCTTTCACACAGAATAATGCTTTCAAAGTTTCATTCAAGTTTTAGCATGTAGCAACACTTCTTTTATAACTGAATAATACTGTGTTGTTCAGATAGATCAGATTTTGATGATCTATTCATCCACTGAGGGACATTTGAGTTGTCCCCTTTGGCTATGTTGACAAAGCTGTTGTGAACATTCTTATACCAGTTTTTGGGTGGACCTGTAATTTTATTTTGCTAATAGTGAAATTGCTGGATCATATGCTATTTATATATTTAATTGTTTCAGGACCTACCACACTTTTCCCCTAAATGGCTGAATCATTCTACATCCTTAGCAGTGTATCAGGATACCAATATTCCCACATCCTCCCAGTGCTTGTTATTATCTGAGTTTTTGTATGTAGCTACCTCGGTGAAATGGTGTCTCACTGTAATTTTGATTTATATGTCCCTAATTACACTAATGATATTGAGCATCTTTTCATTTATTGGCCATTGGTTATCTTCCTTAGAAAAAAATATCTATTCAGATTTTTGCCTGTTTTGTGAATTCAGCTATTTGTTTTATAATTGAATTACAAGTGCCCTTTATAATTCTAGGTATAAGACCCTTATCAAATTTGGATTCTTTTGTTTGTGTTTCCCATTTCTGTAATTTGAATTGAATTGCAATTCATGGTGGGATGGAGGTATAACCAGTGACAGAGTTGGCTAGCATGCATGAGACCTAGATTTGAGCCCCACAACTGTAAAAATAGTTCATGATCTTTATCAATTTAGTGCTCTTGTGCATGAATTTAAGAACCTTGTTAATTATCTTGTTTTGAGTTCAAGCATCAAATCAGTGAGGCCTAACTTTCTGCTAYAAAGACTTTCATGTGTCCTCCTTTGACCACAGGTGGGTGGTACTGTTAAAATGGAGAATTTTCTTCCAAGTGACCAACCTGTGGTAGACAGAATAATAGCTACTCAAAGAKGTCCCCAAATATGTAAWTATGTTACCTTACATGGCAGAAAAATTATTTGCAAATCTGTTTAAATTCAAGATCTTGTGAAGAGAAGATCATCCTGTATTATTTAGATAAGAAGAATCTTCCCTAGCTACAGTCAGAGGGAGATGTAACCAGTAAAGAATGGATAGAGTAGCAATGTTGCTGGCTTTGAAGATGGATGAAGGGGTCATGAGACAAGTAATAAAGGTAKTATCTAGAATATGGAAAAGACAAAAGAAATGGGTTCTCTCTAGAGCCACTGGCATGCAATGCATCTCTTCAGTATTTTAGTTCAGTAAGATCCAGATCAGACTTCTTGTCTACAAACTGTAAGATTATACAGTTTAATTGTTTWAAGTAACTAACTGCTGCAGTCTGGCTGTTGCAAAATAACTGGGGAGTGACAAACAACTTGTGAAGGTTGATGCAGCAGGAGTGGGAGCCGTTTATTATAGGACAGGAGGGGTATATATACATTCCACACAGCTTATCTAATTAACATAAACTATATACAGCAGTCAACCAATAAGGAATCTCCACACTTAATGGCTCKCTGGCGTTACTTCACAAACCACTCCCTCTGGCAAAATGCCAGGCRCTATCCTGACTTGTTTACAGACTCTAACAACTAACTTTGTGATTTTTTTCCCAGCAACAATAGAAAACTAATGTATTAACACAAATATGGATTTACATGCACCCAGCGGTTGAATCAACAAAAAGTTATCATTTCTATAAGAATAATATTATCATAACAAATGCTGAAGAGTGTCTCTTTCATCACTGGTGGATAATTCTTTCTGAACAGTCATTTATGACCCATATATAGTTTTTTCCCCCAGCATAATTTAAAGGGGAATTGCCAAGGACATTGTTAATCTTAACGGAAAATAACTGGAGCCCATCATATTTTTCCTACTGAATTTCCAGATCTCTAAGTTATTTAGTGATGAAAACACCTCCATAATATTGCTTGAAGTTTTCTAAAATTAGGTTTTGATTACAATTAGTACTGTAATAGCAACTGCTTTCAAACATATTTCAAACATTTGCCAAAATGAATATAGTATATTTAATTYTAATAAGGGACTTATGAAAATATAATAAATAAAGTTTCCACTTCCAAAACAAAATAAAAATAAATATATTACATCTGATAAAAGAACACTGAAGAAAAAGCATAAGAAATTCAAGAAATGCAACCAGAGGGTAACTACTCTTTTTCAATGCACTCATTTYTACAATAATGAATGTGACATTCTAAAGACACCACTGATACAATCAGACTGATTCAGATCAATTGTGGTAGATGACCCAGCATACTTAAAACAGAATTTCTCCAACAACTTTGGTTTTATTGATCTACAACAGTGTGGTCACTGGTATAGAAATATATACAAACTATAGTGTGAAAGTTTTATTTTCACATGGGAATTTAATTCATGGAATAAAATTAAGACTAATAGTGGAATTTACTTCTTTGGAAAAAAATGATCCCAGGTAAGGCCTGCCAATATAGCATACTGGTTAAGAACTGAGGCATTAAATTCAGGTAGACTTAAATTTATATTTCAAATTTTTCCCTTTATTACTCAGAATCATGAGCAAGTAACTTGATCTTCCTAAATCTCCGATTTCCTCATATGTAAAAAGGGGATAATATGCTGGCTCCCTCAGGGTTTGGGAARAGATTAAAAAGATAATGAATATAGAGCACGATACACTACTTTTAGTGAAATTAGAAATCAAGAAACACACAAGTATCAAAAGATCAATTATATCAAACTGCATAGCTAAGATTTGTGCATTTTATGTATGTATTACTGTTAATTAGATTCTACTGGAGGCAGCATAAAAACTGAAATAGTGGTGGGCTAATAAGATAAATGTTCCCTTATTGCTTAAGTAAAAAAAATCAGAAGTAGGATGACATGATGACTAAAGAGTCACTACACTATCTCAGTCCATTGTTTCTATGATCCAACATGGCTGTTTGTGTATGACCCATTCCATACATATTTCAAGCACCACAAAGCTGTTGGAGAAGGAAAAATTGAGACTCCTTCCTGATGATTTATTTCCCTCTAAAAGGTCTTCTTGGGTTTARGGGATGGAACTCAGTGGTAGAGTCTTTGCCTAGCAAGTGCAAGGCCCTGGGTTCAATTCCCAGAACCAAAAATGTCTTGGGAGTTTCCCAGAATTATTGTACATGCATYTAAACTATAACATAATCACATGTCCAATTCTAACCACCAAGAAGTCTTTGAAGATATATTCTTTTGACCAAGTACACTAMTGCCCTAAACTTGGGGTCTAATACTAAAAATTAAAAGATGAATGAACATTGGCCTATGTACTTTCTGTCACAGATGAAGAAGAAAAGCCAATTTCGCTACTTTATCT